TTTTTTAGGTTTTTGAGACAGGGTTTCTCTGTGTAGCTTTGCGCCTCTCCTGGAACTCACTTGGTAGCCCAGGCTGGCCTCGAACTCACAGAGATTCACCTGGCTCTGCCTCCCAAGTGCTGGGATTAAAGGCGTGCGCCACCACCGCCCGGCCTGTTTTTCTTTTTGTTTTGTTTTTTTCCTAAAGACTGACAGCTTGAGACAATGGCCTGGAGGGTGTTTTCCTTCTCCCTAGAAACCCCTTGCCAACAGGCCATCAAGGCCAGACCTGAGCCTGTGTGTACAATATTATGAGCTTGTCAGCTTCCCCCCTTTTTTAAACTAATCAAACTTAAAGTAAGGGGGAAAGACCCCCTACTCCAGCCTGACAAAGTCCCTTACAACTTCAGAAACCCTTGAGATGAATGGATTTAGGCTTCCAGAGTCCCCAGCTCTACTTGGCAAATAGTGTTTCTCTGTGTGTGATTCTGCCCTTTAATAAAAATGTTTTTCATCTGTTGATTCTGCTTTCTGAACCTGGGATTTTCTCTGATGATACCTGTTTTTTTTTTTAATTTAATTTAATATTCCGCCTCTAATTATTTAACTGTCAGAGAAAACAAACTCAATCAGGACCTCTAGATGATAACACGATAACAATAAACTGTACACAAATACTAACTTATCACACATGTCCCAAGCATGCATAGTTTTCTAGACTGTATGAAAAGAGAAAAAAGCAGCACAGGAGGTAGCTCAGCTGGTGGAGTGAATGTTTAGCATCATACTTGAGCTCTTGCTTCCATCCTTAGGACTGACTAAAGCACGTGTCGTGGCACATGCCTATAACCTCACTTCTTGGGAGGAGGAGGCATGGGAGAATTAAAAGGTCAAGGTCATCCCCAGCCACATAGAGTTTTGGGACAGTCTGACTACATTAGACTCTGTCTTGAGTCAGGGTGGAAAATTCTAAAAAGAAAAGAGAGAGAGAGAAAACACTGTTGACATAGGCCTGTAATCCTAGCTAATTGAGAAACAGGGACCTGAGAAATTTCAACTTAGGTACAGAGTGAGTTTAAGTCCAGCCTGAGCAACATAGTGTGACCTTGTCTCAAAAACTTATAAAGAAGGTTTGATTTAGAGATGAGTGTGGAGGGCTTACCTTGCCTGTGCAAGACCCTAAATTCAATCCTTAGCAAAAGTTGGAAAAAAATCAATAATGTTGTTTTGTTTTGTTTTGTTTTATTTTAGCACTCTTCTTTGCCTACTAGGCCTTGCCATGCTCTATCCCTCAGTAGTAGTATCTCAGGTGCCATTAGTAAATTGCTTAAGAATTTGTGGATTGTAGGATTCCCAGGTGGTACCAAAATCCCTCATGGAGATGTGTATATATGCATGTGGAGGCCAGAAGTCAATCTCAAGTGTCATTCCTCAGGCTCAGTCTATTTGATTTTTTGAGACTATTTCTCTTTGGCCTGGTGCTAGCCAGTTTAGTTAGACTAGTGAGCCTTTGTGATCCTCTTGTCTCTTCCTTTCCAGCATTGGGATTACAAGAACATCCCACATCTGACTTTTTGTGTGGATAGTGGAGATGGAACTCAGGACTTCATGCTTGCATGGCAAGCACAATACCAGCTAAGCTATTTCCCCACCCCTTCTTTTCTGTCTTAAGAACTCAGATCCTTTTGAGAGACTCACAAGAGTAATGAGCTTCCATCTCAGGCAAATAAATGCTTCCCACAATTTTGATCACTTCAGTGCTGCAGTAGAGGAACTTGAAGCTCAGTGTCTACAGACTGAAATTCTGCATCATTTGCTTATGTGGTCATGTTGGGCAAAAAAAAATTAATTAATTATTAATGTCATTATCTGGGGTAGCAAGATTACTCAGTAGGTAAAGGTGCATGCCTCCCTGAACCCATGGCCTGGAAGGAAACAACCAATTCTTGGAAGTTGACCTCTGACCTCCACAACTGTACCCATTTCTTTCACTGCAATAAATAAATAAGTGTAACATTTTAAAGAAAATAAGGAGCCCATGCCCAACACTGCCTGGATGGCCACAAACCAGAAGCTAAATGGCTCAAGAGACATAGTATTGGTGCCAAGCTCCATCGTCATCAGAAAGGCTTCCTCCAGTACCTGATCAGAGCAGATGCAGAGACCCACAACCAAACATTAGGCAGAGTTCACAGGACCTGCAGAACAGGGGAGAAAGGATTGTAGGAGCCAGAGGGGTTGAGGACACCAGGAGAACAAGGCCCACAGAATCAACTAAGCAGGGCTCATAGGGGCTCACAAAGACTGAAGTAACAATCACAGATCCTGCATGAGTCTATGCTAGGTCCTCTGCATATATCTTATGGTTGTTTAGCTTGGAGTTTTTGTGGAACTCCTAACAATGGAAATGGGGGTGTCTCTGACTCAGTTGTCTGTTCTTGGGACCCTTTTCCTCCTACTGGATTGCATTATCCAGCCTTGATATGAGGGTTTGTGCCTGGTCTTATTGCATCTTGTATATCTTTTAGGGTGATATCCCTGGAAGGTCTGCTCTTTTCTGAAGGGAAATGGAGGATCAGGAGAACTGGGGAGAGGGAAGCTGTAGGGGACTTGGAGGAGGAGAGGGAGAGAAGGCTGTGGTCAGGATGTGTTGTATGAGAGAATAAATAAAAAGAAAAAAGAAAAAGAATGGTAATATATTCCCTCTCTATATTGTTGATTGATTAAATACCATGCAAAAGGTTTAGGACAGCATATATAAAATAGGCATTTAAAAGCTGCTTTTGCAGGGTTGGGTATTTAGCTCAGTGGTAGAGCGCTTGCCTAGCAAGCACACGGCCCTGGGTTCAGTCCTCAGCTCCAGAAAAATTAAAAACAAACAAACGAAAAAGCTGCTTTTGCTAAAAAAAAGCACTGACTTCTCACCTAGACCCATAACTAGAATAAACACAGGTTAAAAGTCTGACATTTCTACCTCTATTTTGTGTCGATCGTCTTCAATTTGGGTCACTAGATTATCTCTACAGATTGGCATGTATGGCAGTTTAAAAGAAAATGGTCCCCAAAGGATGTGGCACTATTAGGAGGTGTGGCCTTGTTGGAGAAAGTGTGTCACTGTGGGGGTGGGCTTTGAAGTCTTTTGCTCAAGCTTCCCTCAGTGTGACTGTCAGTAGATTTCCTCTTGCCTACAAGATTAGGACTCTCAGTGACCCCAGCACCACATCTGCCTGAAGGCCACCAAGCTCCTTGTCAATGATGATAATGAACTGAACCTTTGAAACTGTAAGCAAACCACCCAATTAAATGTTTTCTTTATAAGAGTTGCTGTGGTCATGGTGTATAGCAAGCTTTCTTGTCAGACTATCTTTGGACTGCCAGCCCACAAATAATGACCCGAGACTTATTAATTACAGGAGCTTGGCATTACCTCCCTTCCATCTTTCACCTCCTGTCTTCTCTCTGTGTCTGGCTGGTGACTCCACCTTTCTTCTTCCCAGAGTCATCTCTGTCTCTGGAAGTTCCACCTATAACTCCTGCCTAACTATTGGCCATTCAGCTTCTTATTACACCAATCACAACAATACATTTTCACACAGTATACAAATATCCCACAACAATGGTGTCTCGTCACAGCAATAAAAACCTTCATTAAGATAGCATGTATCACTCAAAGAATTTTTGCCCCCCTTCATGACTGAAGGCATATAGTTAAGCTGTCCTTAATCTACAAGCACCATGGGTCTCAAGAACAGCAGACGCAGGCAGGACAGAATCTATAGCCAGATGAAGACTGAAGGGTTAATTGCCTTGAGACTCAGGTGGACTGAGAAGCTCTGCACAGGAAAATTGACCTGACTGGTAATACCTGTTATAAATAAGGAGATTCACATACAAAACCCACTGGTATCTACCACTTCCAGACTGTGGGGGAACTGACCTGAAGATCTATATCATAAATCCTGTACCAAAGTCTCAACCTCTCAGTGATCTTTCCTCTCTCCCTTTACCCATCGCCTGCTCTTTTCTGAGACCCATATCATCAAGAGCATGGCAGCTCATGGAGTTTACTAGGGCTTATCAGACTTAAAATTTCTGGGGTTTTGGTGTGCCATATAAATTCTGTTTGGATCTTCTCCATCATATGCCTCTCTCCTCTCTTTCACTATCCTTCTACC